TTTCATTGTCAGTACCTGTTAAAAGGACCCCCCCAAAAAAGAGTGGGGTAGGGTTTTCTAGGAAAAAAAAATGTGAAAAAGCACGCACCCCTGAGCCAAACAGCATACAAGATTTTTTTCAGTTTAACCACACGCTACAGATCTGGCTCTGAGGTTACTGTTCTTTACCTGCAATCTACAACACAGACCTTTGGGCTTGTAATTTTGCAGCTGATGCCAAAATAGCTTATACGAGACCAGTCAGGAGAATGACATTTTAGACTTGCACATGTGGCATTTCTTTCCATGCAAGTATCTATGATCGTGGTGGTTGGTGAATCAGCTCTAAGGGGTCCTCAGCAAGCGACTAACAGAAGCAGGTCTATTGGTTACACACCCTACCTAAGTTCACACAGCCCTAAGCAGTGCCTTAAGTTCAGCAGCGTGGACTGCATCTCCACTGGACGCTAAACAGAGGCAGAAAGTCAAAAAAAAAAATCTTAGAAAACCTTTTACAATGCAATAATAATAATCCTGTGATAAATCCTTTTTTCCATTGGCATCAGCAGTCTGCCCAAAGAGTCAAGTCAGGATGCCAGTTTTCAAGTCCTCTCTTGTAATTGCCCAGATTGAAATATCTATTTTACTAATTAGAATGCATCTATGTCTCCTTTTAAGCCCACAGCAGAAAGACCCAATAAAACCATCAGGTAGCCATCACCTAGAAGTGTGGCCTTGAGCTAAAGAACTTGCTCTTTTTGCCTCCAGATGTACCTGCTCTCCTACAGAATAAGCTCTCCTGTGTACACAGTCGCTGTTCCAACCACACGCAGTACCTGAACTCACACTACCTGATGAAAAAATCAAACTATTCCATTCATTTTTTTTATCTTAACAGTGTTCTGCACTAGTCTGGATTATTCTTTCTTCTCTATATAATCAACCTGTTCTCTCCTTTATGGAACAAAGAATCAGGAAACAAGCTTAAATTTTTCTTGAATCTCAATTCAGGAAGCTCCACTGGAGTCTGACAGTATGCATAAAAGGGGACTTGCTTCACCCTGTTAAAGAAGTTTGTACTAAGTGCAGGCACCTACAACTTTCTAAAGCATACCCCCAAATCTCACAAACCTATCTTTTACTAGAAAGAAGGAACTACCACTCAACTCAACTTTCTGTGGATCTTACTTCTTCCCCCCTCCGAAAGGAAGAAAAAGAGTGATGGTTTCTGGAAGTAACTGGAACAAAACAAGTTTTCTTTGCTTTTGATTACTTAAGCAAAAGCTGATCTGGGAAGTATTTAAGAAACCATGGTAGCAATAAGATACCACTACAGAAATTAACAAACTGTGGGTTGAATGTGTTGGGTTTTTTTACTTTTTAAGAGGAACTGAACCGTTACAGTACTATACACATCACTAGAAACTGATAATATTACAGTGTATTAAACAGATTTCTCTACTATTTTCAGCTTACCAGTGCTGTGCTAGCCAGGCTGAGACCCTGCCAGCTGTACAGACAGTCAATTGTATACAAACCACAACAAACAACTAATGTAAAATTTAAATATCACCTTTTCTTGCCATTCCTGTTTTGACTTTTTCATGCCGCCCTTTCATTTTCCCCACTGTCTTCTCCAATTGCCCTTCCCACCAGCTGGGCTACCAGCCCCATTACTTCCCTCAGAGACCGCAGCTCCATGAAATGCCGCAGAAGGAACCGCACAGGGAGCCAAGGCCAGCAGCAGACACCAGCAGAGCTAGGCCAGCTGCAGAGAGCCCTTCTGTGATTGAACGCCTTCTGAAAGTCTCGCTGTCAGCCTCCATGTGTCCATACGCCACTGTATAACAGGCAGCACTTGCCCAGCTTACTCACAGACTTTAATCTCCATAGCAGATACTATTTCTCTTCTTTAACCGGGGGAGCAGCTCAGAAGCATGTGAAACCCTCACCAAGAGTCTCCAAGGCCACATAACCTATTCTTGCAAAACATACTTCTCACTGAACTACCTTCTTTATAGCTTATGACCCCACTCCCCTGAGGCACACCTACCTTTGATTCTTAACACCGACAACTGGGTTCCTGGGTTTTTCCTCCTCTGCATAGGAATTCTTAGAAATTTTGGGTAGCAGCAAGCACAGGATCACTGTCTGCTATATAATCTGGGCTGTTAATTAGCATATGCATTTCCTGTAAGAAGCCCAAAGACTTGAATTACCAAAAAAAAAAAAAAATTAAGTTGCAGAACACTAAACAGAACCCCCCACTACTCTTATTAAAAAAAAAAAAAAATAAAATGTAGCTATTCTTTATTAATGGGCATTGGGTCAATTACAGTAAACAGTGAGGTCACTTCTTACCCAAAACCTGAATTTCTAAGCCTACCTACTTGGAGTAATCTAAACACCAGGCACACCTGATGCCACGGGCCCTCTCGTTAGCTGGGGGAGCCCAGCTGCTGGCTACAGCTGCTCACTTCCCCTACCCGCAAGTGACTTCCCTCCTTTCCCACCTGAAATAGGGAACTCCACCGCTTACTCGGGCAGGACAGAGCTAATAGCTTCCCTGGGTTTCCAGAGCGCTAATTACACCCTCACCCCATCTAAGCTAACGGTTATAGGCTGGATTTACTGTTGTCTTTTGAAAACCCTACAGGTAGTTACAGCTCGGGGCCGCTCTGCAGCCCAGGTGCCAGAAGTCTGAGTACCGCTAACGCGTTAGCGAACCCTTCGCGCCGTTTCTCCGCTGTTTCTCCCGCCGAAGGCGGGAAGGAGCCGCCCCGCTGCCTCCCAGCCCGGCCCCCGGAGGGTCCCTCCCCAGCCTGTCACCTTTCCCCGGCGGGCTCGTCCTCCTACCGCGGACGGCGCCGCGCTCCTTTAACGCTCACACACTGCTGCGGGCAGCCGGCCTGACTAGACACCGCCACCGGCGGCTTTAGGGGCTTTGGAGAGAGGGGGCTGTGCGGCAGAGCCCCCAGCGCGCAGCCCGCCCTCCTCTGGCCGGCAGCTACAACCCAGCCGCTGCCTCCCCACCGCCGGGGAAACCGCCTCCCC